TAGTGGTAATATTTTCTTCTAGTCTGGTGAAGGTGAGCTAAGGAGTCCTCCCAAGGAGGCAATGCATATTTTGAGGAGAAAGCTGCAAATTGCTTAATTTCCCTTTCTCGTAACAAACATGGAGTTATTATGACCAAATGAAGCATGAGGACTCTGTGCTGTATCCCAGAATTCTGGATGAGCTCTTGTGGTTATTGATATTTGCTGAACTTTCTTGCAGGGCAAGTCCTTCCAGGAACTGAGCTGCCTTTGGACTCTGTGAAGCTTCAGAGATAGACAGGAGTGCTGTAAACCAGAGCTAGAGGAGTTAAAGCAGTTGAGGAGATCAAATATACAAAGAGGATGTTTGAGACTCACTTCAAACATAGAGGAAAAGACTGGTACAGGCATTCCATGGCCTTTCTAATCATACAGAAATATTTAAAACAACTAAACTGCCTTTCCAGAAATCTTCTCTTGTTGTCATGTTATTGTTCTGTTTGTTCTTCAGATGCTGTTGTTTTCCTGCCTAGAAAGAAGATTAAATTATTTTTGTAGAAGTAGAAAAGGCTCTTCTTGTGGAGAGCAGAATTTCAGAATCTTATAACATTTCCATGTTCATAATACAAAAAAAAAAAGGGGATAAAATAAATATTTTATACTTCTGGGAGATTACCTTCAAAAAAACCCAAACCACAAACCAAAGCCCAAAAAAACACCTGGAAGTTGTTTTTTAAAGAAGAGAATGAAACAGATGTGGACTCCCTTTCTGTGCCTTATTTTTTTGACAAACACTTTAATAAGAATGTCAGTCTCTGGTCTTTGTCAGTTAATTATGTTTAAGTGTAAAACTAAAAATACTGTGCCAAAAATCTGGTAATGTTCCATTTCAATTTAATATGACTTAGTCGAGACAACCAAAGCTGTCATTGTGTATTCATACTGAGCTAAATCTGTGAAGAGAAATGTTAATTCATTCAAAAAATAAGTAATTCTGTGTAATTTAGTGTTATAAATGTAGTATTAGTTTGATTGTTTGAATCAAATTTAATTAAACAAAAAGCAGTGAAAAGCTCAGTCCTCCAAACATAGTTGATGAAGTGCCTGTTTTTCTCTTTAGTTTTACTTTTGTCTTGCACTTCCATACTTAAAATTTCATGTCTGATCTCTAGCTATGATCAAAACTCTTCCTTTGCTGTGCATTTTGAAACATTTTATAGAAGCAATAAGAAGTTGACATTCTGATAAATTATAAATTAAAAATCTTTTTCTTTAACATTTTCATCTACTTAGAGAGTCTTGGTTTAATGTTACTTCGACAGCTAATTCTCAGTGTGTAACTGTCACAGTTTATACTGAAATGGTAATAGATCCTTAACTAAGAACAGAGTGTTCCTCCAAATCCTGGCAAATGTCAGTTGTGTGCATCAAAAAAAAGATAATACAAAATAGCATAAGCTGTTTTCCTCAAAAGTTTAAAAAGTGTGACAGTGGGCACTTAAAAGTCATTGTATGACTTGGTTGGACATCCCATTAAGGTAATTTTTCACTTCACCATTTGAATGGTTTTATGTTTTCATCATTCTTAAATTGTGCCTTTTCAAATCATCTGTGCTTCAAAGGAAGGCAAAGAGCTTTGGTTACCAGCAGTTTTGTTTCCCTCCTGCCTTAGTGTGATGTAAACTGCTGGACTAATTTGCTTGTTTAGGGCAAAAGAAAGACTTGTCCAAATTAGACTTAAATTTAAGTGTTTGTTTTTATGAATTTTGCTTTAGGGCATCTCAGGAGGGGAAGGTGGGACAGAGGAAGAATGTTCTAGCTTTTACCTTCTTGTGCCTTAGCCAGGAGGAGGGAACTGAAGGCAGGGATTTGTTCCTGCAGTTTGGAAGTCCCTTTTTCATTTGTTCATGTGCACTTTATGATTACAAAGCACATGAATCAGGTTTATAACACACTGCCCTGAATGGGACCCTTCTGGTCCCTTTACAGATTTGTGCATGGCTGGTGCACACAAGGTGTGGGGTTTTTGGTGGTTACTCCCTGGGGAAGAAAGCTGCCTGCAGAGCATAGTGGCAGTGCTCAGCTTCTCAGAAAGGGACTGCTGGCTCTGTTTGGCTCAGGACAGGGTTTCAAACTTCCCTCAACAAGCCATGGTGATTCCAGTAGTGTTGGAAAGCTGTGTTGTCACAAAGAACCTCTCAAAGCAGATTCCTTGGCTTTCCAGTGCTGGTTTTGATATCAGCTGTTCCACAGGGAGTGGGCAGAGCTTAGCAAAAATTATAGACATCAGCCAAGGCTGTCAAGGCCAGAGCACATTGCTGTGTGTTGGGATGCTGACAGATTTCTCTCTTTGCATGGCATTGTTTGCAGAAACTCGTGCAATGGGAGGCCTGGTTACAGCTGGTTGCTGTTTGCAGTGCTTTGGGACTTGAGCAATTCTCTTCAAATGGAAAGCTTTGATTTAATTTTATTGTGCACGCAGCGTCGTTCCTCTGCTTGGATCTGTGGAAATTTGGCTTTTGCCAAACTACTGATGCTCAGGATAGGGTGTAGACCTTGGAACCAGGCTTTGAAACCTCTCACTTAGGACAGCAGAGTGCATGCAAAGGTGTCTTTGGCTCTGATCACCTGATATGATTTAGTGTTACAGCAAATGAACTTTTCTTTACAGGGGATTAATACCCATGGACTTTGTTTTCTGTTATGTAGCTATGCTGCTCCACTTAGAAAGAAAAAAATAATAAAAGCTATTTAATGCCAATAAAACATTGTCCAGAACTGAGTGTAAACCTAAAGCTGCCAATTGCTGGAACTGAGATTGGAAGCTGATTGTTGGTTTGAATGGCTGAGCAGATGAGGACGATTGTTTTTTATTGGAAATCGGTCAGGAGCTGTCATTACTAGAAATCTGTGGTTTTATTGTACTCTCTTATTTTACTACTGGATTAATTTCAGTTCCTGATCTCAGTCCTAATAGATTATGGTATGAATTTCTGGGAAAAAAAAAAAAAAAAAGAAAATAATCAAGGCAGACACACTTTGTTTTATACATTAAAAAAAGAATCTGTGAAATTATTTCATTGATGCAGGGACCATACACTGGTGTTGAGGGCTGGCACTCAACATGACCAGAGAGCTGCCTGATATCAACTGTGCTTATGATAAATCTGCTGTATTTGGGTGATTTATTAGAAGCTTACAACTGCATTTTTCAGAGCCTTGTTGACTTGGCCTTACATTGTACAAAGATTTTTCCTGTGGAAATCATTGTGTCTGCTTACAGCTTTTTCTTGCCAAACAGACTTAGGTGTGCCCAGTCCGTTTCCCTGGTGCTCCCTCTGATGCCCAGCCATTGGTAGCTCTCAGTAAAGAGCTGGTGAACTGCTCAAGTTAAGGATCCCTTCAGGCTCAGCTACAAAATTTTGAAATGTTATTTAATGCTGCAACACATTTTGAAATCCAGGTGCATGTTGGCTTAAAATTGATTTGTTTCTGCTAACAGAATTCTGTTTTCAGATGTTCTAGCCAAGCCATCTCCAGGCTGTGTCTTGGTTTCTTCTCATAATTCCCTTGGCTAGTGAGTGTGATGTCCTGTTCTGAGTGATTCCTTTGCTGCAATCTGTGCCTCTGTTGTCTGATGGGAGAACATTTCCATCTCTTTAACTGTATATTGACTATTAAGACTTGGATCTAACACAAGTGGTGTTAGAAGCCTCAAAGTTTTCTGCTGAGGAAGGATAAAGGTTTGTAATTCTGGAAGTGAAATGCAGGAATCTTTCAGCTGGGGTTGCCAAAATTGAATCCTATCTGCACCAACTCAGCGTTTAACTAATTTTCACTCAACTGGAAGTGACAGATGATTAAAGAGAAAAAGCAATGCCTTTTTTTTGATGTGAGTAGTTGCCTGAAAAATATTTTCATCAGAAAAAGGGCTTTTCTAGTCCTAGATCCAGTCAGAATCCAATGATCAAACTTCTCCCTGTTAAGTTTTTGGAGTGGCAGCAGCCTCATTCCAGCACTGTATTTCAATACTGTGGACTCTGACCAGGCCTGGTTTCATCTGCAGCAGTGGAACCTTGATTTTTGGGGCACATGATGGATTGTGTGTCTGCAGATTTCACTGCTGCAAAACTGACTCCCCACTTGCTCCCTGTGAAAAGCACTTTCAGGGTCTGGATTACTCTTCCCCTTTGTGGGTGGTGCATCTTGGTGGAGCAGGGGGATGTATGGACCCAGTTCATACAGGGGTGAACTTTTCAGCTTCCTTTCCTCTGGGAAGTGTGGTATAGATGCTTCTATTTTAGGGTGGGAAAACCTTTCTGATGGCTCAAGACAATTTTTTATTTTTATGACTTAAAGAGAGGCCTCTGAAAGAGCAGTTTCCTCCTGCAAAGGCTGTTGATGTGGTCTCTGGAACTGCCAGTCTGGAGTTATCTTGATCCCATTCCATTACTTTTAAACATTTGTCATTGGATTTGATGAAAAAATAAACCTATTTCTGACAGCTGTGCAGTTGTTGCTAGTGGGTCTGTAAAAATCTCTGATCTCTTTGACAAGGAAAGGTTATCAGTGATATCTGAAGTGTTACCCAGAGCTGAGGGATCCTGGATTTTTCTCCTGTGGCTCTGGAGTCGTGGTGTGTGTGAAGGACTCTGAAGTCAGCACACTGGTAACTCTGTGGGAGCACTGCTTTGAGTCACCTGTGATGTACATGAACATCTCCACTCTCAGAGAGTGTTCAGCAGTAGCCAGAGTTGTTGAATTGTACAGTCTGCATTTTGATTTATTTCCTCCTTTTCTTCCCCTCTTACTACTCACACTGTGCTCATACTGTGATGGCTTTAGATTTTATGTGAGCTGGACAAGGTGCAGCTCTGTGTTGTTCTAAGGGACTGCAGCAGGTTTGGCCCCAGGAAATCACCTTTGGCTGCTTTTGGTGAGAGCTGCTCCATGGCTGTGTGTGCAATATAGATTTGCAACCGATGATTCATTAAAAGTTTTTGTTTGTTTTATTGGCATAGGACACCTGATGATCTCTCAAGGCAAATTGTGGCCCTGCAGCAGAGGGAGCTTGCCCTGAAAGAGCAGAATTCCACCTTCATGAACAGGTGAGTGACTCCAGGAGGGGATGCTGCTAGCAAGACCCTGCTATGTTAAAGCCCAGAGATAGGAAACAAGGGCTGCAAACTGAGAGACCAGCTCTTTATATTTCCTTCATGTTCCATGTTCCTTCTGTGCCATTTTCTATTCTTTCCCATGTTGATAAAGGCCTTTCTGCTTACTGAAATCCTTGCAGGAAAGAAAAAAAAAAAAAAAAGAAGATGAATAACTGTGGGTGATGCAGTGAAGAGTTAATCAAGCTTTATGTTAGGAATGTTTGCAAGGGGAAATGAGCTGCTTTCCCCAGACCATTTCATCTGGAAAGGAAATGTCACAAAGCAAAAAGTGCCAAGTATCCATCTGGGTATGGGAAAGGGAGTAGGAGCTCTGAGGACTGTGATTTGACTGCTAAAAGGACCAGGTTGTAGAGATGGTGAAGGAAAAGGATGTTTGCAGTTTTGCTGGCAAAGTGCTGGCAAGCTTTGAGAGGAGCAGCCTGTTTATGGAGTGAGATGTGTGTTTGAAACATGAGGGTGTTTAAACCATTGCCCTCCTGTGGGAGTCAATGTGTAATGGGGAAATGAATTTGCCAGAGCTAAACTTTCAGTGTGTACTGGTTCCACAGCCTTTCTGAACACAGTTCCACAGCATGCCAGACAGTGCTGCTCACCCTCAGTGCACTTCTTCTTGCTTCCCTGTTTAACTCCACACATCAGGAGCCCTCTGTTCAAGCCATTCTTGTTAAAAGCAATACCTCTGTCTTTCAAAAAAGACCCTGGACTGTTTGCACTGGTTGTGGCTGCCTTGCTGAGCAGCAGGAGTGTGGGGAATTTCAGCCTTTGGTGTAAAAATGCTGAATGCAGAGCAGTCAGTGCCATGTTGAGCTCTGGGTGGGCACACTTAGATTATTGAGGGCAGCATTTCCTGATGTGTCTCCTGAGGTAGCTGATGATCCTGTTTTGGGCTCCAGGTTCCTAATGATGGGCAGGATTCAAGCAGGGTGGTAAAAAGTTTTGGCTGTGCTGCTGCTGTTAATGAAACTGTTTAGTCACTTGTAAAATGGTGAGCTAAGGGTAAATTCCCAGGAGTCAGCCAGCCAAATTATTGTGTGGTTTTATCTGTGACGTTTACAGGGGAGAAAAAAATATCTCACCAATATAAAAAAAGATATTCTGTATATTAAAAATAAACCAGGCAAACCCTCAAACCCACAAGTGATTAAATGATAAAATAAAAGAATGATGGTAGTGTTTGAGTTATAGATTTGGGTTTTTATTTTTAGGCTGCTTTTCACAGCCCTTCAGAGAAGTTCTTTTTCTAAATTTATTAATGGCCAAGGAAAAATGTCTGTTGAAAAAGCAGCTTTTTGGTAGTGCCTGTTCATCTAGATATAATTGTGCCAATTTAGTTTAAAAATAAAAACATGATTAAAATTACTTTTTGATTTCAAGTTAAATGGGCTTTAAAGCTGCTCAAATTAAAATTCTAACATTTTCCTGATGTGCCAGTTCTGAAACTGATCATTTTGACTTTCTTCTGTCACATACCTTATTCTGTCTTAAAAAGAAGGTAATAAGATAAATTTTTAAAAACCTTTCATTACAAGTGATTTGAAAATTCTCAGCAGAAGGTTTTAAGATTTTGGAAATAAAACCTTGTTAAGGAAGCAAACCTAATTTTCTCCTTTCCATAAATCTTTTCCAGATTTAGCTGATGGTCTTCTCTTTTATTTGTTTCATAATTGTGTTCGGAATTGTCTGTGTATTAGAGTAATTTAATATGTGATCATGCCTCCCTCTAGTGATGAAGCCCAGCACTTATTCAGCTTTCTATTGTTTTTTTTTTTTTTTTCAGCCACAGGTTCTTTTGCCCTTTGTTGAAATATGTTTTCTTTGGTGCTGATAGTGCAATGTTTGATTTATAACATCAGTGGTTATGTGTGTACAGAGCACTGTGCAGTACAAACACCACAAAATTTGTGTCTGCCCTAAGAACTTTTAAGTTTTCTCCATTAAAATTAATGAAGTGGCAGATACTTAAGAAAACATCATCACAAGTTGGCATCTGAATTTATTTTTATGGCAACAAAGGAGAGAATCACAGATAATCCTGGCTCACCTGTTGCTACAATGCAAAACTGTGTTTAGTAGATGACATTTTTGAGTGCCATGGTAAAGAGCATTATGTGGCTCCCTTCCCTACCTGGCAGATATTGAGTTTTTGTGCAGTGTGTGTGTGTGTGTGTGTGCTCATCACCAACCTTTAAACACAGGCAGGAGAGTGCCTGGGAGGTGTGTGAGGGGGGTTTGCAGCTGATTATTCTCTCTCTGTCTTTACACTGCAGTCATCTTGGTTTGTATTGCCAGTGATGCTTTCCCACACTGTTCAGTGACTGGGGTAGGCACTTGCCAGCTGCTATTTCTGCTTCCAGTGTCCTGTAGTTGATCTAGAGTGGGGAGTTATGGTTGATAAACACCTTTTCCGAATGGCTTCACTAAACAGAAAATTTATTTTTTCTCATTTTTGCATTCTTGACCTGCTTTCCATTTATTACTGTGCATTTTTTAGAGCCAGTGTTTGTGTAATTAAAAGGCAATAGAGATGATCCCACCACAAAGAGACAGCATCACTATAAACCCATTTTTGCAGTGGTATTTCCCTGAGTGGGGATCTGCACTGCAATCTGTGTTTTGTGTAGCCTGTGCAATTGCCAATGTCTCCAGGCCTCCCAGAGATCAAATGGTGATGCATATCCTATCTGCTCCATCACTCACATTGCACACTTTTAGACACAGAACCACAGGACTGAATTTCCTGAGCAGTAGGTTGAAATCAATTTCTTTTAACAGTGATTGTTTACACGTCTGAGTAGTGTCGACTCCCTCGGAGCTTGCTATTTTTGCTAAGGGGAGAAAACCTTCCTGTGGTGCCAGCATGGGGCAAGAGGAGGGTCACTTTAGCACTGAACACATGGGCAGCAACTCACTTCTCTTGGCAACTTCAGGATGGCTGAGTAATGTAGCAGAAAGTGCCATTAATCGTGCGTGATGGACTCTCAGTGCTGCTCTGGAGTGTGTTGCTAGAAGTCGTATAAATAGAGTAAATTACACTTGCAGCAGCTGGAAGTGTCCTGGAGCTTTTTAACTGCAGAGCAAAGCTAACAATCCAAAGGTTCAAAAGCTCAAAAGAAGATTGCTCAGGGCCACTTTGATAGCAAGAATTGTACCTGTTCTGCTATTTGGGGAAAGGTGATGGAAGGGAGGTGTTTAATTAGTGGGTCACTTTAACCATGCAGTCACCATTAGTTAAAGCCCATTTTCCCCTCCAGCTGTGACTGCTGTAGGTGTGGTACACTGAAAAGTGTTGGTGGTTGTAGTTTGGAATGTGGAAAGTCAGCCAAGTGGTTCATAAGCTTTTCTCTGATGCAGAAATGATGTAGCAATTATACTCATATACATCATATTTTTTTAAAGTGAGAAAAGCTGCATATTTATTGTGCCTGCTTCCTATCTACATATTTGGTCTCTCTGGAGAGATTTCCTCAAACAATCCTGGCAAAGTATTCTGGAATTGGAAATGTTGTCTATGAGATGGCTCACGTGAAGGAATGATGCTGCTTTATGGCTTGAGCTTTGCTGCATTTGGAAAGACAGGCTGTGAAAATGGTTACTTGTGGCTCCTCCCAAAGTGATCATTTCTACTTTTGCTCTTGTGGTCTAAGTGCAGGATTGATTTTGGACCTTGAGATGCCTTGTGGAAGGTCAAATACAAGGAAATACATAGGTGAAGTTGGTTCTGGGCAGGATGAAGGACAGAAGGGAAAATGGAAGAGCAGTAAATCCTTGGTTCTGGTGTTGAGATCCTGGAGCTGATGGCTTATTCCCATCACCTTGTGTCAGAAACCCAGCCATGTGTTTTGACATATTGTTTCATATGGGAAAAGGGACACAGAGAATGTGTTTGGAAAAGAATTTTCCTACTGCAAGAGCTCATGGAGTTCTGTTAAGAGACCTGGTTGTTTACCACCTTTATTCATATAAATCATGTAAAACTGATTTACCCAAACAATCTGCTGTGTGTGTTGTTGTTTAAAATGAAATAAAACCCCAAACCATTGAAGACCAGGGAATGTAGATTGCAAACTGAACAGAAAATGCTTTAGACTTGGGCAGCAGGGATTTTTTTTGAACAAAAAAAAAGAATGAGTGATGATAAGCCCAGAACTGTCCATCTTCATAAGTGCTGTTAGATCAGAAGTGTTGTAAATCTATTGCCCAACCTCTCTTTTCCTTGGATGTCCCAATGAATGTCAGTCACAAAAACAAATAGAGCCTGTCAGACTTCTTCCCCTAATCTTCTGGAAAGTTGGACAGAAGTTTAATTACAGTGAAGTGTCTTTTATCTGACAGAGAGAGAAGTGCTAGCTTTTTAATAGGCTTTATGAGTTATTTTTTGATCAAAAGAAGCACTTAATGTCTAATATAGGATTAGGTAGGGATTTTTTTTCTTCCTTTGTTCATTTATATGGCACATTGCACCTTGATTTATACATGGAGGTGTCTGTGTACCTAATATCAGACAAATGTTTATTCACGGTGCTTCAGGGCAATATTAACTGCTGGCAGGTTCTGCATTCATTTTCCAGAGTGAGATGATGAAGAAATGACTGTGGATGCTGCTTTTCCTTTCCTGCAAAATGGATCTTTCCTGCACTTCTATACCAGAAGGTACTCAATAGGGTCTCATTAAGTGACCAATCTACATATTCATATAGCAAGCTTCTAGAGCAACATCTGGTTATTCATGACTCTAATTAGGTAGATACAAAGCTTTTCTATTTTTTTTTCTATCATATAGTTAGCAGAAAATACGAAAGCAAAAAATAATTTAGCCAAGACATTGACTTAAGCTTCCAATTTGAAAAACATGGGATTTTGCCCAGACCTTTGCTTTTCATGATTGTGCCATTTTTAGTCTGATTTCCTGAGGAAGTGAAGCTTATTACTGT